ATATAAAATTAATATACATCTTTTAGAAGAAAATTTAAGGGTCAATATATGCAATATATGAAAATATGTTTTTAAATTATAAATCTAATTGTCAATCCTATTTTAACATAATTTTACAATGAAAATATATGATTAAAACTAAACTATTTTATGAATTAAAAAGTTATTAGAGTTACAATTGAAACTATATTAAAAGATGAAATATTCAACATATAATGTTCATTGTTATGAATAAGAAAAATTGATACAATTATTATAGTATAATAATTATATAAAGATAATATATAAATTCTCATTCATTTTCATTTAAACTTTTTGATTTCTTCTTTTTTTTCTTTTTCTTTACTGGTTCTTCAGTTTCTTCTTCTACTCCATTTTCGACATACCCATTTTCTTTTCCATTTTCTAAAACTTCACTTTTCCTTTTTTTATCCTTTTTCTTTTCTTTTTTGCTGATTTTTGTTCCATACTCGCTATTACTTGTGCAGCTTCTTCTAATGCTTCTTTCATTACATCTATGTTTTTCTTAGGTATTTCTCCAGTTTCATAAAATTTCAATCTATCTTCTACTTGTTGTCGCAATTTTTCACCAAATACATTAGTTGGTATATCAGTAAAACAATCAATTCTTGATGCAAGAGAACATTTATTGGCAAGATACCTTGAAATTCTACCTTTATTTTTTGTACCTGCACGACCAATAAAACTTGAATGAAATAATAGTCCATATTTTGGAGTGTTACCTCTAGTTTTCAAGGCTCTAAATAAAGCCTTTTCTGCCCCTAATATTTGTACAGTAGAGGCAGGATATTTAGCTAAATTTGTAAGAGATCCAGCATGTGCTATTAATCTTGCTCCCACTTGGTCACCTATTAATGTAGCTAAATTTGGTGCTACGCCTGTCATTTTAGATTTTAAATATTCTGCTAATTGTTTTCTGTAGTCAGCCAAAGCAATAACACGTACTGCAAACATTTCAATGTTAAGAAGATCAACAGGGCTGATATCCATTCCCATAGATGATTTAGAGGCATCAATAATTGCTTGAGCTTTGGCACTGTCCATAACAATTTCTTCCAAAGCTTCTAATTTTTCATTTGTAAGTTCTTTTCTATTTTTTATTAATTTTGCAACTTTGGCATACATATAATTCTCAGGAACTATTTTTACAAGTTCTGGAAAATGATAACTATACCATTCCTAAAACATATAATTATAAATAAAGTAAATAATAAATATATAAATAATAAACTAAAAATATTGAATTATTTTATCTAAATTTTTATATAAATATAAAAAAATTGATAATATTTAATATTTTTTAAAATAATTACCTTATACGCATACTAAACGTATTAATATCTTTATCTAATTGATCTAATAGAGCTATGCTTTGTATGATCATATTATCCACACGATTAACATTGAATTTAACTTTAGCTCTAGAATAACTATGACCAAGTCCAAGTTGTGCAATTCCAGAACTTTTAGCAGTAAAACCTTTTACTAAATTATGAAAATGAAATCTTATTCCTCTAATAATTTCTGGAATGGCACCAGTGTGATCACATTTTATATTTAATACTTCAGTAATGTTAGCTCCAAGTTTTGGATCTGCTACTCCAAGTACAACTTCATCTTTTTTTCCAGATTTTGGTATACATGAGTCTAAAAATAACTGTAAATCTTCTGGAGCAATTCCTTCAGAAATATTATTTATACTTTCTAAAGCAGTTAGAGCAGTTTTAAAAGGTGAAAATCCAATTAGTTTCACAACTGAGTTAAAACGAGATAAATCTGTTACAGATGCTTCAACTTGAGGCAATAACATTCCTACTTCTTCAAATTCTCTGACAGAAAATATGGCATAGCCAGCAGCATGCTCGAATAAAACAAAAAGCTTTGACTGAAAAATATAATATTACATTAAAATTATAACATATTAAATTTATAAACAAAAATTTACAATTAATTATAAAAAATATAAAATATATAAAATTTTAATAAAAATTTTATTTAATAAGTGTTTAAAAATTTCATTTAAAATATTAATATTTAACATAATAATCTATTATAATATTAAGGTAATATAATATATCTTAACAGAAATGATATGTTTATCAAAAAAAAAAAAAATGTTAAAATGTAAAAACATACACTTATTTAAAAAATTTCAAACATTTTTTATAATTATTTTTATTGTCATTGAATAAAATTTTTTTATCATACTTATTATTAATTATCTATAGATATACATTATATTTTTTTAATAATCCAATAAAAATTTCCAATATTAATAGATAAAAATTTATTTTAATTTTAATTTATAAAAAAATATTTTTATTAAAATTTTATCAAAATTAATATATTGTTTTGAAAGGTATACATGAAAATAATTTTAAAGGAAGTTATATTTATAATTAATTTAAAAATATAATCAAAATGTTGAGCTTACCATGATTTTTTTATCTTATATTCCATTCAATATTTCTAAATAATCACTACCCAAAACTAAAACGTACTATTGAGGTTAGAAAATAACCATGTGTTCCGGATATAATACGAATAAAAATATGGAGTTTTTGATACTTCCTGAGATTCAAATGTTTACTGAAGTTTCATACAAAATTGTATATTCAAAATTGTTAAATGAAATTGGATAATAAAACTGCTTTCATGTAATATATTTTTGAATAGCACGATAATGAAATAAGATTGTATTTCCTAATTTCTCTTGTATTCATTTGTATCATAATTAAGTTCGATATACATTTCCCTTTATATTGTGTACGGAATATTGTGGATATCTCTATTTTCTTTTTCGAAATTTACTTTCACTTAAATCATTTTTTATCTAGAATTTTATTTAAATAATATATATAATATAATAAATATTAGAATTTATATTGATAGAGCGAAGAAACATATTATAAGTCTATTATTAAAAATAGTCATAATCTTAAAATGTATGTGAATGTTTTATTATTTATAGGTTATGTTTATTTGTATTATTTAATATATACATTTTTTTTCTTATTAATTCTTTTAGCTTTTGTTTTCTTCTTGAAGAATGGAATCTCGGACAGAATTCAAAATAAAATCTCCTCCAACTGATGCGATTTCGGCAGTAGAATTTGGGCGGAATTCAACACAATTTCTTCTTGTTTCTTCATGGGATAGTACAGTGCGCTTATATGATATTCATACAAATACTATGAGATTAAAATATAATCATGATTTACCAGTTTTAGATGTTGCATTTCAGGTAAATGAAATTTTTATATCACATTATGTATTATGTATTTATAAGAGATAAACAAGTTTTAAAATATTATAATAATATATAAAATATTTAATATTATATTATTATATTTGTATTTTTAAGTAAAAAAAGAAAAATAAGAACTAAAATATTATATATTAAAAAAATAAAATATAAATTTTAAATGTTAAATATAATTATATATATTTTTCCTTTATCTTTATCTTTATATTATTAGTTGTTTTGAAAATTTTTTAATATCAATAGAATAAAAAAGTTTTTTTTAACAGGATGCTGTACATGCTTATAGTGGCGGTTTAGGAAATACATTAAAGATGTATGACATCAATAGTAATACTGGTATTGATATTTCTTTATTTTTATCTTTATTTATATTTATTCCAATATATAAAAATCATAAAAAGGAATTATTTTATAGAATCAGTTATGGGAACACATGATAAACCAATTAGGAAAATTGAATATTCTGCTGCAGTGAATGCAATATTAACTGGAGGATGGGATGCAGCAGTAAAACTTTGGGATCCTAGAACACCTACTTGTGTAGGTAGTTATTTACAACCTGATGTTGTTCTTGCTTTGTCTGTATGTGGAGATAAGTTTGTAGTAGGTACAGCTAAACGCAAAGTTTGTATTTGGGATTTGAGAAACATGGCTGGTATGTTTCAAAGACGTGAAAGCAGTTTAAAATATCAAACACGTTGTATTAAAGGTTTTCCTAATGAGCAGGTAGGTTTAATATTTTGATAATTAAATAAATGAAATAATTTAAATTTTGATTTCATTTAATATTGATATTAAATTTTTTATTTTTAATTTTTAATAACTTTTAGGGATATGTTCTTAGTAGTATAGAGGGTCGTGTTGCTGTTGAATATCTTGATACAACACCAGAAGCACAAAAAAAGAAATATGCTTTTAAATGTCATAGGATAAAGGAAAATAATGTGGAACATATATATCCAGTGAATGCTATTAGTTTTCATTCAACTTATAATACATTTGCAACTGGTGGTTCAGATGGTTATGTAAATATTTGGGATGGTTTTAACAAAAAACGTTTATGTCAATTTCATAGATATAATGCTGGTGTTGCTGCTCTTAGTTTCAGTCATGATGGTTCTGTACTTGCTATAGGAGTATCATATTTGAATGAAGCTGAAATCCCACCAGGTGGAAATGATGAAAGAGAAATTTATATAAGATATGTGAATGATCAAGAAACTAAACCTAAATAATATTGTACAAAGTTTTTTATATAAAAAAAAAAAAGAGTAAAAATTTTTTAACTACACTTTGCTATATCAAAGTAGTAAAAACTGAATGCTAGAATTTTTTCACAAAAATTAATAACCATTTATAATATATATAATAACAATGTTTTCTGTCTATTTTACATTTTTATATCTTAAATAATTGATAACTATACAAATTCTAGAAGTGAAATAATTTCTGTTAAAAATTATTAGACTAGTCAATTTTAATAAATTAACTTTTTGTAAAGAATATTTTTATTTAAGATAATAGACTTATTCAACAGTATATTATATTAAATATTTATAAATTTTATTGTCTATTTCATCATCAGTTATATTATTATTACTTGTATTATTAGTTGTATTTTATCATTTATTTTTAAGTATAAAAGTATGTATATATATTTAATATTTAAAAAACTTACGTAAAATTTACGTAAAAAATTAGATATTTGAGAAAATATTTTATTCTAATTAAAATATATTTGAATAAAAATTTACAGTATATGAAATATTAATTCAAATGTATACAATATTAAAATAATTTGGACCATTATAAACTTATAAAATAATTATAGATCATTTATAAAAAAAAATTAGATATGAATAATTTTTATAATAATTTGTTTCAGTATAAATAATTGTGCTGATTGTTAATATTGCACATTTATATTTATAAAATTATTGTCAGAACTTAATTATTATTGTTAAAATAATGCTGTTATTCTATACAAAATTTAATGACTATTTAGTCAATAATATAAAACAACTACTATTCTGTTACTATCACATTAATAATTGTAGATATTATATCTGTATATCTGTAATTTAATGTGAGAAAATGTATATGTAGTTTTTTAAAATTGTTTTTATGATTATTGAAATTCATGAAAAAAATATTTCTATATTTTGTTTATCAATGATTAAAAAACAATTTGTGAGGGCAGTTGCATTGTTATGCATAATATCCACATTACAAATAAACTAAATGTTAATATTTGCGCAATATAGTTTTGCTTTTTAGTGATTTATATACTTATATGACATGCATTTTTTAGTAATTTAACAATTTTTATAACATTTTGATTAACAATATGTACATCAACAATTTGTACTATTTTCTATTCTTTTAAAAATATGTCCTTTGAAAACTATAATATTTATTAAATCATTACTACATTACATGAATCTATTAATTATGATCATAAATTTTATATATATTGATGTCTGAGTATTTGATAGATTTTTGTACAAATTTTGCTAGTATATAACTATTATTAGTAGCAGAACAATGATAAAGTTTGTATGCAATTTTTATCAAACATTCTATATTTCAAAGGACTTTTTAGCAGATGAAAATATATTTACTGCTTTTTTAATTAGATGCCTTATGTTAATAGATAATTAGACGTTTCTTATTAGTTTTTCTAATTGCATATATCATTTTTATGTTTTTAATGAAGTATTTTGGCAAATAATAATTTTTCTTAATGTATCGCGGATCGTATCATGTGTTGCAAAACTAATTCCTACAGCAATTGGACCTTTTATCCAGTTCATACTTAGTCCTTTATAAAAGGCCATTATACCTTCTTCTCTGAAAATAATAAAATATTATATGAAACATTTTTATTTTATACATTGAAATTGTAATAAAAAAAACTTAAGTCATTCAAAAATTATTTTTTTTATTTTGTATATTTAAATATTATATTTTAAAATTTAAATGCAATGAAAGAATATAATTATATTTTAATAGTTGTATTAGAATTATTAACAATTTTTATTCAAATTATTATTAAATGAAAAACTTAAATGAAAAACTCACTTGTAAATTTTTGTGATAGTTGATCTGATCGTGTGATAGTGTTGACCATGCATCGCCGAAGTCTGCATCCTTCTCCGAATAATGTCCAAAGGGTAGCTGCTAGTCTGAGCAACCATTCCGGCAATGGCGCCGCAAATCAGTGATGTCGAGAAGCCAGGAATAGCCACCGTGTACACTGTTCATCGACACGTAGCCATCATCGAACATGAAGCACGTACTTGAAAAACACAGCCATCGGACTTGTCTCGACAAGCGTCGCTATTAAAGTAAGTATTGTCCCAATATCGGGAAACAGCCCCGATGTGCCCCACGGGTACCCTGCTTTATATACGAGCCACTCTCGTTCGTATAAATCACGACTTTTTTCTGCGTACAAGCACTGTCACGGCGTAGAATAAGTTTGTAAAAGAAATGACTTACCAGTCAATAAATTCCTGAGTAGATCATAGGTGAAGAAACTGCAACCAGCATAAGGAATGACACCAAGTAGCGTTGCAGTAAATCCACGATAATAAGCCGCTATTCCTTCTTCCATGTAAATGCGTACAAATATTTGTCGTAAGGTTTTGTATTTAGTCTTTTGTGTCACAGCCATTCTTGCTCTCATCAAGTCCAGGGGATAAGTTGTACCTTGCGATGTTATACCCGCTAAAGAACCGGCAAGAAAATTCAATCCTGGTTTTTCTCTATCAAAGAGGATAAATAATTTTTTATAAATAATTAAATAAATATTATATAATCGTACAAATACAAATATTACAAATATATTAGAAACAGATTTAGATTTATAAATTAGTTTAAAATATTAATTTGATACAATATGTGAAAAAACATTTTTTATATTGAAAAATATAATATTAAATACCATATGATTATTATAATGTAAAAAATTTAATAAATATTTCATATATTGTATTAATTTATAATTTTATATAATTTATATAATATAATATATAAGTATAATTTTGCTAAATTTTACCTTTCTGATCCATTTACTCCTAAGATTCTTTTCCATTGCTCGTGGGCTGTGAATTGAACAGCAGAATATGGAACTATTCTAACCATAGTAGCACTGTTTCCACGCCACAAACTTAGTAAACCTTCTGTTCTAAGAGTTTTTATTAAAAATTTAATTGCTGCTTTTGCCGAAAATGGTTTGTTTGAAATTTGAAAGTTTATCTTTGTGCGATCTAAAGGTGCTATTGTCGTTTTTGCCAATGCTCCTGCAATAGCACCTGATAACAAACTTGTCCATACTCTTTGTGCATTAGATATACCATTGCTCCCAATATTTTTTTCTTGCTTCTTCTGAAATACACAATTTAATGTTGTGTATGATATAGTTGAATATTAGATTTTCCATTGACTGAAATCAAATATGTAATGAATTTCAAATTTGTAAAATAAAATTTAACAGATCCATTTTATTTGAAAATTTAATTGTAATATATGAATAAATTAATTTTAAAATTCTAATAATTAAATATGATAAAGCAGATAAAAATTCAAACAAATATTTTATTTTAAATATAATAGAAAATGTTATGATTTATATATAAGTATTCAACAAAGTACCTTATTACACATTGTAGTATTACCATCTTGTATTTCCATTGAAAGAGATGATGTATTTTGTAATACTTGTTTTGTTGAATTTGATAATACAGACATTTGTATTCTTTTGATATTACTTGATTATTAATAGGATAAATTTCTTTAATACATTTCCTTATAGTGTAAATAATTCTTTCATTTCATCAGACTTCTTTACATAGAATATTTATAAAATTTTCTGTAAAAAAAAAAAAAAATTATTTATATTTTTATATATGAATGTTAAAAATAGAGAATTAAATGTTATCAAATATAATATATATATATATATTGATTATTGTTAATTATTAAAAGAAACTTAATTGGATCAATTAATTTAATATTGTAATCATATATTATCTACTATGATAATTATGTTTGTAAATATATATATTTGAATATATTTTTTTTTATTTAATGATGGCTTAATGACCTTGTATATGTAAATATAGAATGTATATATGTATTAATATAGAAATAACTATATACATATTTAAATAGAGATAATTTTGTATCTCTCAAATTAAATGCCATTAAAAATAGATTAAAAAAAATGTAAATAGTTACTTTTTAAATTATTTTGTAAATATATTTATTATATTAGGACATATTTATATGCATACATATATGTGTAAAATTTTTAATATCATATTATTAATAATAATAATAATAATAATAATAATAATAATAATAATAATAATAATAATAATAATAATAAATCAGATAATAAAAATATTTTATTATTTTTATTATAAATCAATTTTTAATTATCATGAAACAATTCTTTCAATATTATTATAAACAATAAAGTATATTAAAAAATTAAAATTAAAGTATAATAAAACATTAATATAATATTATTTTAATATTTAATATTAAATCTAATATGTAATATTAATTAAATATTATATTTTTGTTATAATTTTTAGAATAACTATATATTATATTATCTCTTCATGATAAATGATATAACTATTTCGTATTAAAAATTATTATTATTTCTTCCAACTATGTCAATATACTATTTTTTAATTTTTTTTTTAACATTAATACGAAAACAATATGTGAAAAAATCTATAAACTTACATAATACATATATTATTACTATATTACTAAGTGAATTAATTAAATACTGCTATCATTTGCAAAAAGTGAATATTTTTAATAATTAATAAAACGTAATACATTGTATATATATATATATATATATATAATAAAACAAAACATTATATATTTTAAATTTTATACATAAATTAATATAAAAAAAAATATTTATATTATTTATAGAATTTATTTAAATTTATAACAAAAGATATTTTTTAAACGATTATGCGAATAATGGGCGTAGTAAATGCTATTTTTAAGTTCTGCACTTAATATAAATTTAAATTCCATTTAAATTGCATTAATACTCATAATCAGTATTATTTTTTTATACAAAATATGGAATAAAACGTTTCAAAAATTATTTTAGAAATATGTATATATATATACAAAAATCAAAAAACAAAATAAGTAAGAAAAATCTTGTACCTGTATAGTAAGATAGTTGATCAATCCGTGAAGAAAATTCTGATTCTTGAAAAAGTAAAGAATGTATTTAGAACATTCAATACTAATAAAAATACTTTATATTATTTTATAGATAAGTAATACAAAAGTCTAATAATGTTACACGAGACGTTACTTCGATGATGTTATATACGTAACTGATACCAAAACTGTAGCTACATCACAATATCACTTTTACTAAATATATATGTAATGTACACTAACATTACGAACTCATATATGTAAGTTTATCGATTTCGTCAATTAAGAATGGAACAATATTCTTACGTCTGACCTTCCGATACATTCGGTTATACCTTCTAGATGGCGATGCCAACGTTTATTCAGAGATTTAAATTTCTATCATTTAAAATATTTTTCAATTGAATATTGAACAGCAAAATATATAATTATTCATAGTATTATTTTTTTATTTTTTGGAATATTAATTTTACAAAGTTGTTAATATAATAAATTATTGAATTTACGCTAAAGTAATTTAAAAAAAATTCATATAAAAAATTCGTAAATTTATTAAATCATTATTTGATGTGATTGCATCCAATAAAAATATATACATTTATTCGTTAATATTTAATAATTATATATTAAAAATATTAATTATTTCAAATTTTTCTTTTAAAGATTTATTAATTATTAAACTAATTTTAATGTTGTATATATACTACAGTTAAAGATAAATGTAATAAAATTTTTGTAATATTTATTTTATAAAGAAATTGGTTTTAAATGAAATAGCATCTAAATTTTTTAATTTAGATTTTCACTTTCATTCAAAAATGTAAATTTTAATTTTAAAAAATTGATTATGAAGATACAGAAAGAAAATTACGTTGTTTAAGTAGAAATCTACATAAGCTTTCTTTATATATATACATTAGCGACATCTGGGCAGCTTTTTATGAAGATGTAATATCTGCATTATCGATATGTGTCTAATATTACTGACTGAAATGATAATAATAATATCTATTTTTAACTTTTAATATATATATTAATATTAATAAAAATCAAATTTTGTTTTTTAATCATTTTTGTACTAATATCTTAAATTAAATTTAGAATTTTTAAAAACTATGATAGAAATATTAACTTCATTTTGATTTATGTTGTTTAACTGTCACTGTCTAGTGCCATATTATATAAAATTTCAGCGGGAGTTCATCTGTTAAAATGAATAATCGTTTATTTGTTTTTCCGTAAAAAAATGAAACTATTAATCAACGCTTCGATTATTTGTTCAACGATACACGGACGGTGAGTTATTTTTAAGTATCCAATATATTTCGTTTTGCATAAACATTTAGGCTAGTTATGCTAATGCTTATTTTTAGTATTACTTAGTATTACTATACATGTTATTTTTTATACATATATATATATATATATATATATATATATAT